AAAAACACCCATCCCTGAAAGCCGACACCCACCATCCCTTTTCATGTTTTCCCAATCGATCTCGCAAGACGGTAGCGCACCCGCCGTCCGCTGAAAGGCAGCACCATGGACATGATGATTGCAACACTGTCGGGTTCCAATGCCTGTGATTCCTTTCGCGGTAGGCCCTTCACGGAGATGCTTTACACAACTTTGCTCATGCATTTTGCAACGGCTGCGTGACGTTTGGCACGTCAGCTGCAAAGTAAGTGAGGGCGGCTTGGAAACGGGCTTGACATAGCCAAACTCGGAGCAAGCGTGGCTTGCGCCAACGCTCTGGGTTCAGACCTGTGGCCCGAACAAATAGTAGGATGAACAGTTAACCCCACTATTGCCTCAAGTCGCACATCAAACATTTCGGAAATATGTCGGAAGACCTGGGGAGACATGCTGTGCGAGATGACATGGACATGACGATTGGCGCATCAGCCCTGACCGGTCGGGGCGCGGGCCTGGGGCCTGAGCCGGCAGATTGAAAATGGATTTGGCATGGCGAAGCTGAGGTGACTTGATTGGAAGTCGGCCACGCAAGTCAACCTGCCAGGTAAAACGAAAAGTTTGCGCAGGGCTGCCGAACACGCGAGGGATTTGACTTGATTGGAAGTCGGCCACGCAAGTCGACCTGCCAGGTAAAACGAAAAGTTTGCGCAGGGCTGCCGAACACGCGAGGGAAGTTGGAGTCGGCCAAGTCGACCTGCCACTGCGAGGGATTTGACTTGATTGGAAGTCGGCCACGCAAGTCGACCTGCCAGGTAAAACGAAAAGTTTGCGCAGGGCTGCCGAACACGCGAGGGATTTGACTTGATTGGAAGTCGGCCACGCAAGTCGACCTGCCAGGTAAAACGAAAAGTTTGCGCAGGGCTGCCGAACACGCGAGGGATTTGACTTGATTGGAAGTCGGCCACGCAAGTCGACCTGCCAGGTAAAACGAAAAGTTTGCGCAGGGCTGCCGAACACGCGAGGGATTTGACTTGATTGGAAGTCGGCCACGCAAGTCGACCTGCCAGGTAAAACGAAAAGTTTGCGCAGGGCTGCCGAACACGCGAGGGATTTGACCTGATTGGAAGTCGGCCACGCAAGTCGACCTGCCAGGTAAAACGAAAAGTTTGCGCAGGGCTGCCGAACACGCGAGGGATTTGACCTGATTGGAAGTCGGCCACGCAAGTCGACCTGCCAGGTAAAACGAAAAGTTTGCGCAGGGCTGCCGAACACGCGAGGGATTTGACCTGATTGGAAGTCGGCCACGCAAGTCGACCTGCCAGGTAAAACGAAAAGTTTGCGCAGGGCTGCCGAACACGCGAGGGATTTGACCTGATTGGAAGTCGGCCACGCAAGTCGACCTGCCAGGTAAAACGAAAAGTTTGCGCAGGGCTGCCGAACACGCGAGGGATTTGACCTGATTGGAAGTCGGCCACGCAAGTCGACCTGCCAGGTAAAACGAAAAGTTTGCGCAGGGCTGCCGAACACGCGAGGGATTTGACCTGATTGGAAGTCGGCCACGCAAGTCGACCTGCCAGGTAAAACGAAAAGTTTGCGCAGGGCTGCCGAACACGCGAGGGATTTGACTTGATTGGAAGTCGGCCACGCAAGTCGACCTGCCAGGTAAAACGAAAAGTTTGCGCAGGGCTGCCGAACACGCGAGGGATTTGAGTTTGCGCAGGGCTGATTGGAAGTCGGCCACGCAAGTCGACCTGCCAGGTAAAACGAAAAGTTTGCGCAGGGCTGCCGAACACGCGAGGGGACTTGATTGGAAGTCGGCCACGCAAGTCGACCTGCCAGGTAAAACGAAAAGTTTGCGCAGGGCTGCCGAACACGCGAGGGATTTGACTTGATTGGAAGTCGGCCACGCAAGTCGACCTGCCAGGTAAAACGAAAAGTTTGCGCAGGGCTGCCGAACACGCGAGGGATTTGACTTGATTGGAAGTCGGCCACGCAAGTCGACCTGCCAGGTAAAACGAAAAGTTTGCGCAGGGCTGCCGAACACGCGAGGGATTTGACTTGATTGGAACTGGAAGTCGGCCACGCAAGTCGACCTGCCAGGTAAAACGAAAACTTTGCGCAGGGCTGCCAAACACGCGAGGGATTTGGCTTGATTGGAAGTCGGCCACGCAAGGTAAAACGAAAAGTTTGCGCAGGGCTGCCGAACACGCGAGGGATTTGACTTGATTGGAAGTCGGCCACGCAAGTCGACCTGCCAGGTAAAACGAAAAGTTTGCGCAGGGCTGCCAAACACCCAAGGGATTTGACTTGATTGGAAGTCGGCCACGCAAGTCGACCTGCCAGGTAAAACGAACAGTTTGCGCAGGGCTGCCGAACACGCGCGGAGACCATGCGAATTGCCACCCGGTTGTAGGCCCCAAATTACTTAACTCAGGCGGGAACTCACAGCCAGCAAAGCAGTGGCGGTTTCAGCGCCTGCGCGGAAGAACAGACTTGGATTCGGACCCGTCGGGACAAAGAGTAGGGTAAACAAATTCCCCGGCCCTCGGTTCGAGAAGCTTGCATTAACTTGTGTATTCTGCACAGCCTACCGTTTGCGACGCGAGAGCCTGCGCGCGTAGCCTCAGCCCCAAGCATGGGGGCTGCCTTGAATTCACTCAACCTTCACCAGGGATCCTTAAATTATACACCTGAACATTGCCTTGTAAATGGTGGTTTCCCTTTATTTTGGTGTTGAAACAAAATGTATCTTTTAAGCAGCCCTGTTCACGGGTCTACCTCATTTTCAGGAGCTCTTGGAGCGGACGCCCGGCACCCTGCCCTTGCTTGCTCTCCCTGTAGACCCCGGAGGGCCCGAATTTTGATCGCCCAATCCAGGCATTTCTGGCACCGCAACTTCTTGGCAGCACAGGGATCCTTTCACGGGCACTTCCGCATCTATTGCAAAACTACCACTTGTGCTTGCAACGTTTTCTGGAGAGTGCTAGTGATGACGCAGCCACTGCAGCGTCCAGCTCACGTCCAATTGCTCCCATGAAGAGAGGCTGCGAAGGACATACAGATTCGAGCCGAGGTTTAAGTCCAAAACCCTGCTTGCCCAGTCTCTGAATGGCGCCCAGAGAATCTTTTAGCGCGAAACTGGGCATTGTTTTAGGTTACATGGGACCGAGGAGCCATGCGTGAGGTTGGGGTACATGGCTTTGCATTGATTGAGGAAGGCGTCCAAAGTCAGGGTCGGAAGCACTTGACCCAGGGTTAGACACTTGCATTGGCCCTACCTTCTGTGACGCGAGCGTATCAAGGTATCAAGCAAGCATGCCTTTCGCCACGCGCGAAAAAAAAAAAAAAAAAAAATGATGGTTGGCAGCGCGCTTCTCCAAGGCAAGCTGCAAGCCGCAAACGCAGCCACACAGCTGGTGCTTGGCGCGTCATAGCCAACCTCCGAGTGGCAACTGACTTGATCGAAAGCTGGGCTGCATGCCCCCGATTGAAGTCGCCGATCTTATAATATTCTGACCAGCCGCGAGCAGGAAGAGGCTCTCGACGGGGAGACGGGTACTGTCACTGCAACGCTGCGCTCCGCAGGCAAACAAGTCGCAAGCCACACGTGTGCAGCCAACACTTCCTCCAGCTGCTTCCAGCGGATTCTGCTGGTTACAAGGCCCAAGAAACTCCGCAGCTTGGTGGAGCACGGCCAAAGCCAAATGCGGGGCACGCCAAATTCAAGGTCCAATTCCCACAAACTTCAGGGCGGGGCCTGGTGCCTGATGCAAGTGCGTGGTCTGGTTTCTACGCAGCTGGGATTTGGCTTCGCGGGGAAGGAGAGTACCGCGCATGCGGCGCACGGTTCAAGTCAAACTGCAAACTGCACGACCGAATTTTGGAACCCCGTCACTTGGCCTCGAAGAAGTCACTATTCTTGGTACCTAGTACTTGCGCTGGTCAACTCCGCAGCCTGAGTACCCTTTGGGAGGGCGCGGAGCTTGCGCGCACCGCCCGCAAGCTCCGCGTTCGCAAACGCAGCCATGGCATTGCCAACCTCAGAGTGGGAAGCACTTGACTCGCCATTTGTGCCTCCACTCTAACCATAGCGTCCTGTTGTGTTGGAGGTCTAGGATGGTGCGCGTAATACGTTGACCTGGTTTGGCAAAACTGTTGCCGGGGAGTGAACAGGGGGTCTAAAAAGGTTCAGCAAGCTCCAGGATGGTCCTATGACCACGAAAGACCCTAATGCGGACAACCCCGCAGAACCCCTAGTAAGTTCAGGGCATCTCTAACCATGCACTTCCCATACTGCACCTGGGAAAGCTAATGAGTCCCGCGATTCTTGTGGAAAACTGGGTGAGTCTCTCATGTGCCGCACTGAACAGGCCTCTCTGTGAGCGATCAAGCGCATACCTGCGCGTCTGGCATCCGCCACAGCTGTGATCAGGCCCGAGCCGCCTTCTGGCTGGGGCAATGGGAAGTCATGGCCTCGAGGCCCGATCAAAAGCGACGCTGAGGGACGAAGACCCAGCTGTGCACAGAGAATGCGGGCCACCAGGCTCACATCCAAGATCAGCATCTCGGCCGCGAAACTGGGGACATGCGTGGCGACGAGTACGTCGCTAGACAGAAGGCTGCATGCATTTCGGGGTCGAGGCCGGCGCGCATGACGGCATGCACATATCGCGTGCGTGTTGTTCTAGCCCATGGAGCCAAAAGCAAACAAAGTGCGCACGTGTAGCGACTTGGCCAGATTCAAAAGGGCCCCCAGTTGTTTGGCCCCTTTTGCGGGCAATTCGGCTGAAAAGAAGCAGGAGTTGACTGATCAATATTCGTTCTGCCCGACAATGCCATAGCGGCCCGCTCATGCAGCAGTGCCTACTAGCCAAGCAAGGGTATTCAGCACCATTCCGCACCTATTCAGTTTCTGCTCAGTACCCCAACCAGGGCGGGTTCCTGAACCACCAAATGGCAACCATTGACGCTTCCCGAGTCACTTCTAAAACAGAACCCCAGTTTGAACCTGGCCGTGCCACGCATCGACCGCTGTGAACTCGTCGAGCTGCCTCAAGAGGTCCTGGCGAAAGACTTTGGGCCAACGGAAAGGACGAAACGCGTCTGTCTTTGTTTGAGGGTACCCCCCCCCCTTTCGGTTGGTTTTAAAGGGAAGCCAAAAAGGAACCCCACCTGTTGTGCGAGTCCCCTATTTTGAAACAAACCCAAATCCGCCGACCCTCTCCTGGGGGCGGTGCGCCGGTGGTGATGCTGAGGGTGCTGTGGTGATGCTGGCGATGTAGCTGCTGCTTTCTTGAGTATATTGGATTCAAAAGTGACGCTAGCCCTTCATTTGCCTAAGCCTGGAAAAAATAAAAATATGTCCAGTAGTGATAGATTCCCTTCATAGCCAACAAGGGAAAATACAAAGTATTCTTAAGCAAATGCAAGTTTGGTGCTGCTATCGGGGATGCGCAAGGAGTGACATTTCTGCCGTACTCCAATGGTGGTTGGCTGTACAGGGAGCGGACAACATCTCCAGCATCATCACCTGAGTTTGTTAACGGCACTAGTGGTGATCGGAAGACGATTGTTCCGTCCCAAATACTGATGGCACTAATCTCCTCCCCCTATTAATGAATGACCCCCATTAATAATAAATGCAAATCCGGGGCCCGAGACCAGATTTCCACTCCGTACAATTGATTTTCAATTGCCCCAATACTAAACCAATACTAAAGTCTTGGAATCCTTATTAGGGGGCACTTTTAGCAAGCTTCCAGCCCCACTTTTAAAAAGGTGGGTTCCTCAATTCCCCAAAAAATTGCTTCCCCAAAAGCTGGCTTCCCCAAAAGGTTGGGTTCTTTTGGTGGGTTCCCCAAAAGGTTGTTCTTGACTCTCTCCCCAAAAGGTTGTCCCTGGTTAATCAACCTGCCTGGCTGCAAACAAACAACCAGTAAACTGAAAAACAAATAGAATGATACATCAAATTTCCTTATTAAACCGCTTACTCGCGGAGCTTACAATTCAATCCATTTCCTCCAAATCCTATGTGAACCCTCACGTGGTCGGAAAAGCAAAAAAACCCAACCCCAAAAACCCCAATTTAAAATAAATATATTTTTGGGGGGATTTATTTATAATAGGGGGGGGGGGGCGTATTTAATAATAGGGGGAGCGGATTAATGGTGCTTGAGCAACAGGGAAGCCACATTTTGGCAGCATTTGTTTGCAGCTCGCAAGGGGAGTCCCCAATTGTCTAGGCACTCTAAGTAAGTGGCGCACTTCTCTTTTGGGGACACCCCTCGCGATGGGTTGCTCGGGAGTCAAACTGTTGTCTGAAAGAGCACATGGCCTGTATGCGTTTGCAAGACGAAACTGTATATGTACCAGTCCCTGGGCCACGTACCCCCCCCCCCCCAATGGTATGGTCCCTCCACTCCCCCGCATCATCTGCATCTTGGGGATGGGGGGTTGGGGGGGGGAGGGGGTTCACGGCCTGGAACATTATTGTAGGCCATATCTTGGCAAGTTCATCGTGTTGGTTCATTTGAAGCGATGGGTCATATTGGCAGGTGGGGCCAGGTTTTTTTTTGGGGGGGGAAATCGCCCACCGAACCGTAGGAACCTGCAGCTTTGGCTTTGTTTCAGCCTCCTTTGGTTTCCCTTCTGTTTCCCTTTGGTTTCCTTGTGTCTTTTGGGTTCCCTTTGGTGTGCTTTTGATTGTTGTTCCTTCCTTTCGGTTTCCTCCTGGACTGGAACAATATGGACAGGCTACGATCAAGAGGGAACAGCGGATGTTGGATGTTGTGAGAGCGCGCGGCGGGCTCTGCACGGGGCGGCAGCCCTTAGATATGCTTCAACGCCACACGTGTTCCTCACCTTGCTGGTGCGATACGTAGAGAATGAGAAATGGAATGAACCTGGGGATTCAACAATAAAGGAAACCACCAGGTGGATACTTGATTTCAGGTTCATTCCATTTCTCATTCCCTAGCGCAACACTGGGCATTCACAAGTCGTACGAGCGGCACCCATCGCCTCCGGCAACGTCTCCGGGTCCCGCTGCTGCACCCCGTGGGCGAAGCGGGGGATTCGCAGCGCGTCCGCCTCGGATCGGCAGTCGCAGGCGGCCGGCAGGGTGCCGTTGTGCTGGAAGTGCAGCAGGCAGACGCTCTGCTCCATGAGGTCCGTGAGCCCCACCCAATGAAACTGCTGCAAAGACTCCAGAGCCTCATGGCTCGCAAGAAGAAGAACAAAAAAAAACGGGGAAGGCCCCGAAGTGCCGGAGGATTCCTTTCTTTTCTCGCGAAGAAAAACAAATAAGCTCAGGTGATATCCCCAACAGCATGCGGTGCTCCTTTTCGTGCTCGCACCACCCCGCAGCCCTCGCAGAACCTCGTAGAACCCTCGTAAAACCCTTGGTGGAACCCTGGTGGAACCCTGGTGGAACCCTGGTGGAACCCTAGCGGAACCTTACCTCAGGGCCCTCCCCGGAGCCTATCTGGGCTGAGACCCCAAAGCTTTCAGCTGTTGGGGAAAACAAGGTCGTTCTTTTCCTCGGAGCCCTTTTGTGGGGATTGTTTCAAAATTCAGAAAAGGGACTCCTTGTTGGCATGCCCTTCAAAAGTTCCAAAGCACATCCCGAGCGGGAAGGCGTTTTCAAGTACCACAAACAAGCCAACAAAAGGGGGGAAAAATTGGTATGGCACGGAGCGACTCGCCGTGGGGTTTTCAAGGGGTTTCCCCGGCCTCCTCCACGTCCACCCTCTCGGAGAGGGTCCGAAAGTGCTGCCCCAAGCTGCCATTCGCCACGCTGCAGGTCAGCGCGTGGCTCTGCATGTTCCGAGCCCAAGGGATCACGCGCACCGGCGACACATCTTGCCTCCCGAAGAAAAAAAACAGTCGGGCACTGAGATGTGTCCCGGTCATTTCGGCTATAACTATTTATTTGTATGGTGGGTATGCGTCTTGGGGGAGGCACCCATTTTTTGGATGGTTCTTTCAAGGCAGACCAACGGAAAACCTGTGCCACTTTGGGGGTTCCTCCAAACCCATATAGAACCAAAGGGGAACAGGGGCACACACGGCAATGTCACGAAAGTGCGGTAGAACCGAAGGGACTTGAAAGCACAAACGCCCCCAGATCGCCCCATCCATAGCCCGCGGAACCCCATCCATCGCCCAATCCATCGCCCATCCAACTGGATGCGAGGCCGCGGCTTGTTTGGCTGCCAACAGGTTTTCCCCCAGCCCTTTGTTCTATAGGGGTCCATTCCTTGTCCATTCTTTTCAGCCATCCTTCTGTCCGAAAACCGGATCCGTTTTCCGTGGGTTTCCGGAGGTTTTCTGGAAAGATTCGGATCCCTGGAAAGAATGGAAACGGAAAATACCCCTAGATTTGTGCGGAAAAACCGCCGACCTCCCAAAAAAGGAAGCGATCCACATGTCCCCAAGGGGCCTCTCCGCCAGAAGCTGCTCTCCGAGGTTGGCCTCCCAGTCCTCCGCGGAGGGGAATCATAGCCTTTTCCACTAAAATGACCAGCCTTTTCTTGAAAAGGCCACCAGGAGAACTGCTGATTTACGCCAAGGGTTTCTACACTACCAACTTTTCCGCTAAGGGTTTCTACACCAAAAGGCTGCTTGGCTTGTTCATCAACCACAAACCGTGGAACCAAAACCATGCGAGCCTCCGCGAAGGAAGTGCAGTAGCTGCCGCAGGACATCTCCGTGGCGCGGAGGATGCCCTGCACGGCCACACCGCGAGTCGAGTGGTCGAGAAGCCGCTTTTCGATCAAAGACAAGGCTGAAGCGGCTTGAAGATGCCTTGAGTTTTTGCCATCCCAGCTGCAGAATTCCGCCCAGGTCAAGTTGCAACTGGTGGCCGAGCAAAATGCACATGAGAAACCGCGTCCGAGGCTTCGCAGGCTGGGATGCAAAAGGCGCTCCGTAGGAATGCGGGTGTCTTTGTTCGGATTGCCCGGAATCAAAAGAGATCTGAATGGGCGAGGTATCGTGCATAGATCGGGCCGGCCCGTGAACTCAGGGGCCTGCACCCCGCACAGCATGCGCAGCTTTGCGTCCCTCCGTTTCTCCGGTTTGTCCTGTTGCTTTCATCTACAGAAAAATGCTCTGCTGAGGCCATTATTGCTCATGGGAAAGTGAAACCTCTGCAAGGAATGAACGATCGCGTGATGCTTCGTGAACAGACGCCATGCCAAGCATCCACATGGAGCCCTGGCATTTTGCCCGGTTCAAATCCAAATCCCAACCACCAATCTACAGACCTTGATCCGGGACCCCATTTGGATGAACATCCTTAGGTAGATACAGATGTTTTGTTTTAGCCCCCATCGTTTCCATGGTGGTTTGAACCCCAGGGTTCGGTTTCTGGGTTCGTTCACCGCTCGAAAGGTCGCCTCTGCCAAGTACTGGGGAACATCCTCCAAGATGCGGCCCCAGGAGTTATGGTGCGCCCCGTGACCTCGGAAGGAGGCACGTTTCTGGGCATGGGAAACTTGTGCGCCAGGCTGCCTTCGGGCAAAATTGGCAAAATTGAACCAAAATGCAGAGGCTGACTTGAAGATGTACACTGCAGATCCCATCATAGAACATTAGAAAACAAATCGTGGCGTTGCTTCATCTGCGGGAGTAAAATTGGCGACTGGGAGCTTCGACCGATTTAGGGGGAAACGAGAGGCGAATCCGACATCAGCAAAATCAATAAGTTGCGTGTGTCAGTATGAGACGAACCTCGGCAGTAGGCCCCTCCAACTTCCCTGGATATTTTGTACGTGATACACCGTCACAGCGGTCAACGCCTGTTTTGGTATCTGCAGGAAAGGGCTTCTGACAGAGTTTCATCCGCTGTTAGCCAATGGCTTCAATGAACCTCGAAGGTCCAGTTGAAAGCAACAATTTTGCCAGAGAAACTCGAACGTAGAGGTCAGGGCAACCAAAAAGCGCCAGCAACATAAGTCTTGAGCCCTTTTGGGCACCAAAAGCCTTTGTGACTTCCCCCAAGTGAAGGGTCCCCACTAGTTCAACAGGGACACCCTTTCCGCACCCCCAGAAAAGGTCCACAGGTAACTCCTCGGTTCCGTGACTGGCTGAAGAGCCTCGCTCATTCCAGGGCGCAATGCGTGAAGACCGAGAGCGCGTGAGCGCGGGGCGAGCGCAGCAGCACGCCCCGGAAGGCGCCGGAGAGATCCGAAGCGCAGCACTCGCAGTTCAGCCCGCAGAGCGCGAAGCCTCACCGAGGAAACGACGGCCCAAGCGAGAGCTCGCCCTCAAGCCCTCATGACCGAGGAGGATGTACCCTTTACATCGTGGCTATGTAGTGGCATGTCATCCCATCAAACCTCACCCCTTGTTCTCAACACCCACAAAAAACAAATTTGGGGTGATGCCAACACCAAAGATGTGCAGTATCTCAAAGTAGGGTAAACCTGCAAGACTGCCTGTTGGCCTCCCCTTTCAACTAAGCCCAAAAACGGGTACCAACTCACCAAAGATACCGCGGCATAGAACCCTGATAGCGAATACGTGCCAACGATTGCACGCCAACACCTCCAACAGCACCGCTGTTAAGCGCACCTTAACCAACACCCAAAACAGCATCCCGAAACAAGCGCCTGCAGAAGAATCCCCAAGCTGCATGCTCCCTAGCACCCTGCCGTCAATTTCGCAAGAGCACGCCTGGCCATCACCAGGCCCCCCAAAGCAGCACCTGCACCAGCACCCCAAACTGCACGCTCCCTGGCACCCCACCGTCGATCTTGCAAATCACTGTCCCTTCTTTGTTAGAAGTTAGACCCCTATAGCTTTCAGCTATCTGGACGAGCCACGCATCTCACTTGTCTTCTCAAAACCCCTTTTGTTAATTAAAAAACAGAGAGCACCCGGGTACCAACTCCCAAACAAACTGAACCACGCCGTGGTGAAACCTCTTTAATTCAGGATCTCCCTCTGTCTATTGCTCTCCCAACCTCTGCTTTCTCCAACCCAAGTGGCTCACCACGCCGGCCGCCGCCTCGCACCCCGAGGCCTCGCAAAACGGAGATGGTCCCCCAGGCTCGTCCAGCACCCCGGGCCAACGGCAACCGCTTGGCCGCAACTGGTTGGCCGCAACCCGCAGCGGTTGGGGGGTGGTTCGGATTGTTGGCTTTGACTCTTCAGGGGGTGCCTTGTTGAAGGGAACGGCAAAACCTTCAAAACCAGCGCCTAGCCCTGCTTGAAGACACAGCCATGTCACCCAAAAGGTCAAGCGACAGCCACAGCCTGGCACAAGAAGCCTTAACCCCCCTGCAAATTAACAAGTCCAAAACCTCAAATCAAAGGCCCGACATCAGGTCTTTCGCTCGTTCTTGCCCCGGGTGAGCTCGTTGCCAAAATGAGCAGATGCAATTTAAGACATTGTTTTGGCCAGGAATTGAGGAACATGTCCGAATTTTGAGACGAACCAGTATCAACGTCAGTAGGGGGTTCCAAAAAAGGCAAACCCCTTTGAGACAAACCCCTTTGAGACAAACTGGACTGTTCAAAATGGAGAGTTGCCCAATCCTACATCCACTGCAAAGGGGACCCCTTACGCAACCCAGGAAAGGATTAAGGATTGCCTTTGAACAGCCCCGCTCCAACTTGCTGACCCCATTTGTTGCACCGCCCCTCCAGGGCAACTGCACACGCCGGCGGTGCCGTGGCAAAAAGGAGTCTGCCCCTAATCCGGGACAAGCAATCCGCAAGTCTAATCGAGCCGAAAACAAGCAAGGGTCTCCCTGCGCGGCCACGAAGGACTCAGCATCTGTCGAAAGACTTGCAACACACACACACACACACACACACACGGGTATCCAAAATAACCCCCCCCCCCCCCGCTTAGTGGGGGTTCCTTTCTTGGCGGATCCTGATTAATAGCAAGGGGGCTTAAGACCAACTGGGGCAGCATTACTTTTAAGACAAACTCACCCATTTTTCTAGGCATCCCCAAATTTAAACCCCTTTTACTCACATGAAGATCAAACCAATTCTAAGCCAAACCCATACGACGGTGAACGCCGCCAATAGGTGAACCTTTGAAAAAATCGAGTATCCCTGGTAAATGGGGCATAAGACCCATCTAAACCAGCGGAATCCATCTATTTCTGTCCTCAACCTCGATCAAAAGGACACCTATGACCTATCCCATTTTACGCCCCCACCTCAAACCCCACCGGCGCCGAACCCCACCCCAGTCTCCGCCTTCCGCGCCGCCTCCGCCAGGTTCCCCGGCGCGTGCGCCGCCGCGGCGCGGCGGCAGGGCCCGTAGTCCAGGCGCGGCGCGCCCGGCTCGGAGAGGGCGCCGAGGTACAACTCCAGGGACTCCCCGCCCGTCTTCACCTAAGTCACTTGCTCAGATGGGAGCTTGGGTACGTGAAGGGGAAATTGGTGGTTTATGAGCTGCGAAGCTGAGGCAACTCATTGACCACCGGATGTTCGTCTTTATTTCGGCTGTGCGGTTCCTTCGGGGCAGCGGTTCCTTCGGGGCGTCGGGCGTTGGGCGTCGGGCGTCGGGCGTCGGTTCGGGCGTCGCCCGGGGCTCGTGGGGCTGGGACGTGTTTCTTTTTTTTTTTTTGGGGGGGGGGGAACATGCGAAACGAATCAATCCACGAAGCGTGGGGAGATGTGGCAAATCCAAAGGCTGGTCAAGGTCCTTTGGAGTTACCCCGGAAAAGAGAAGGGACACCGGAAAGCCGCAATCAAAAGAAACATGAGGAAACCAGAGGTGGTGGCAAATTGTTGAAAGGGAAATTCCAAAACAAATCCAAAACAGCAAGTGGTGTGATATTAGGCAGAATCCAAACTACAAGTTCGAAACTAAAGGGTGATAATTGAACCGCCTCGTTTGGGGCTTGTATTTGTCTGAGGCTTAGATACCAGTTTCTTGGTTGAAAGGAAAACCAAATGACAACCACAAGGGTTCTCCTAGTTTGGAAACACCCTACGCCAAATCCGCCGACCGAGACCAAACATGGCAACCTGCCTCTTTTCACGCGGAAGGAACTGTTGCGCTGCGGAGTGTTCGAGAGTGTGTGCCATGTTTTCAGGAATCGATTGTGTGCCCAAACCAAATGGTCACGGTGGATATAAGATTAACTGACCCCTGTTATTAGTAGCGTGTCCCTGGATATCCTGGGGAATCATCACTTTAGGGGCCCAAACCACCCCCCTTATGAATACCCTGAGCTTGATCTAATTTTTTTGTGTGGGGGGGGGGTGAACATTTCGATGGTTGACAAAAGGCCTGAAAGCTGAAACCTGAAAGCTGCTGAATGCGTGCTGAATGCCGAAACCTGAAACCTGGAACCTCGCTGTTGAGATCTGGCCATGGGGCAAAAGCCCGGTTAGCCCCATTGAACATCCCAATCCAACCACTAAAATTAAGACTTGCGAAACCAGCCAACCATTGGAAAATGCTTTTTTTTAATTTTTTTGTGAGATGTAGAGCAAGCAACAGAGCAAGAAAATAGTGATCCCAAGTTTCGGGTGGGAAAAAAAGCAAGAAAAAAGTGATTTTAGAGCAAGCAGTGGGCACTAAAAAAGCAAAAATGAAGCAAACAAGACACCAGAAATAGCAAGAAATAGCAAGAAGATTGTGAAACAAAAAACAAGTGTGATAAACCCTCGAAACCAGGAAATCTGCAAATCACAGCGGGAGATCACTATTTTCTTGCTTTTTGGAGTGGGAGATCGCTATTTTCTTGCTTTTTTTGGCAGGCGACGACCCTCAAAACCCGCAAATCTGCAAATCACAACGGGAGATCACTATTTTCTTGCTTTTTTGGAGTGGAAAATCATTATTTTCTTGCTTTTTTTGGCAGGCAACGACCCTCGAAACCCGGAAATCTGCAAATCACAACGGGAGATCACTATTTTCTTGCTTTTTTTGCATGGGAGATCACTAGTTTCTTGCTTTTTTTTGCAGGCGACCGTCGCCTCCAAAAAAAGCAAAAAAATAGTGATCTCCCGTTGTGATTTGCAGATTTACAGGTTTCGAGGGTCGTCGCCTTCAAAAAACGCAAGAAAATAGTGATTTTCCACTCCAAAAAAGCAAGAAAATAGTGATCTCCCGTTGTGATTTGCAGGTTTCCGGGTTTCGAGGGTTGTCGCCTGCCAAAAAAAGCAAGAAAATTGTGATCTCCCATATAATCACTATTTGGATCCTCGCTATTTTGAGGTGCCCAAATCACTATTTGATGACCATCTGATCACTATGTTCTTGCTTTGTTTTGTCAACTGTTGCAAGTGGATCACTTTTTTCTTGCTTTTCAGCTTACTCTTAATTTTCAGATTGCTATTTTCTTGCTCCAACCCTCACTCCCAAATCACTAAACAAAAAATTAACCTCCCTCAACGGTTGGCTGGACGAAAACTCTTAACACTAAAATAGGTTCTAAAAATGGGTGGTGCACCTACCCCAAAGTGGGATCCCATTGGTTTTGACAACCACAGCCAGTTCAGCCACCGGACTTGTTTTTGCCCACCCGCAATGAACAAACAACCCGACTGCGATCCGGGGGATTCCCTTAAAGGAAACCACTGTATAGGTCATTCCCTCATACCTGCAGCCATCTCTGAAAAACGCTTTTCGCTTTCGCGGCCGCGGCGCCACGTGGGAGAATTGCAGCGCCTGGGTGCCGTCGAAGACGCGCAGCGGCAGCGGCGGCACCGAGGCGACGCGCGCCGTGGGCGAGGCCACGCGCGGCGCGGAGGCCGGCCGCAGGTGGAAGAGATGCGCCGGGAGGAGGTCGGACCAGTTGGGGCCTGGGAAAAAAGGCCTACCCAGTACCCGCCTTTGAGAGGTATCTGGCGCTAAAGGTTAACTTTTAGTGGTTTAAATGGAAATCCCCACTAAACACTAAAAGGCTAAAAAGCTAAGGGGATGGCTCGGAACCACCAAGGTACATATTAAAGACACCTGGTTCTCTCATCTCAACTACCTCCTTTCTTCGTCAGTTGACATCGTGACCTAAGAAAAACCCAGATATTTGCAGTGGGGATAGCTCCATAGCTCCTAAAGTTCTGGGTGAAGTAACCTTTTCCAACTGAGTCTGCTGGAATTCTGAGCTCAATTGAGACGGCTTCGAACTCGAAGCCTGAGGCTGCTTCCCGTGGAAGAGGTAGGAAGTCTATGCTTCAAACTCAGGATCACAGGTAGTTGGGGGTGGGGGTCCCTTTTCGGTGAGACACAGGTTCTAACTAGAAGGGTTCTGAGCGGTGTCCTCCACGATTCATCCAAAGTGAAGATGGTTCTTCGGACTCGGTGAAACTGCTGCGCTTTCCAAATGAGTCATAATCAAAACCCGGCATTAAACTGGTCCTAATCCCAGAACCATGCTTCAAGCATTAAGAAGGCGGATACCCGCAGCTATGTGTGGTTGGGAGCACCCCTTGCTAACCTTCATCTACCCGGGTTTTGAGCACGTAACTCAACTGTTGCCGCATTGCTTCAAGGTACATCTGGCCTTAGCGATCACAGCATCTGGCAATGGTCAAGCACTAGGCCCCGGCAAAAAACGAAGACCACAAGCCAAAAGACTTCGATGCGAAAGCGAATAAGGGAGTGGCGATGCAAGGTCTCTTGCATATAGGTATGAATTGAATGGGGCACCCTTTGGTGGACATCAAGAATTGTTGGACATCAACGTCCCATCTCTGGTTGAGGGGCGTCCAACTCTCAGAACTGATGGATTTCTGCAACAGCTTGCACCATACAGCTTCATCCCGCCGAAGTCACCCAACCCCCCAACCCCCCGCAACGCGAGAGTCCGCCTGTACCGGTCACGGGATTCAAATAGATCCGCTCGCAGTAGGTGAGGAAGCTCTCCCGCGAGACGTGCGCATCCAGCAGGGAGCAGCCATGCACCGAGTCCCTCAGATGATGACAATGCGCCGGGTTCCTCGTGAAAGCCCAGGAGATGAAACGCTCCTGCCGCGTTTCAACACAAGAACACGAGAGCCGCAAGCCGCAAGCCGCGGCGGGCGTGCGGCTCACAGAACCCAGGTGGTCGAAGGGCATCGGTGTCTTGGAGTAAGGGCCAACAAGGAGCACTCGAAAAGGGCACCTCCATGTTCCAGCAAAGTCTCTGACAAAGCGCTTCTCATGTGGGCCAACCCTTTTCTTTTCCACCTGGGTCTGAGACTGTCGTGTGTTGAGGCTACCATTTTTTGTGGTTTTTTCGGGATCCCCCCAAAAAAGCCACCCACTTCCGCCAAAACCCGCCCCAAGCTCCGGCTGGCACCCGCGGCCCGCTCCTCGGGGAACTCGAAGCTGGTGACCCCCAGACTCGTGGCGCGGATGCTCATCCCTGGCCCAAACTTGCGCCCCGGAGTCGCTCGCACTCGCTCACCCGGCTGGCTCACCCGGCGGGGGGTAAGACATGGCAGGCCCGGTTTCTTTTTTTTCACATGAGGCTTTACGCTCAGAACCCGGGGCTTCAGAGTTCCTGAGTCTTTACGTGGTATCATGGTGGAAAAGTCCCAGAACCATGCTTCAAGCGCAAGGTGGATATCCGCAGCTACTTCTGGTTGGGAGTGTCACTTGCTTCCCTTCATCTGCCCGGGTTTTGATTGTACCTCAATTGGCCCCGAGGGTTGGTTGCCACAAGCTGGGGTGGGGGTGAGGTGGGGGGTGAGGGTGGGGGGTGAGGGTGGGGGGTGAGGGTGGGGGGTGAGGGTGGTTCTAAAAAATGGGGGGAATGATCAATATGGGTGGGAGCCTCTAGCCGGAAAGTGTTGGGTCTGCAACAGATTCTCTTGGCTCCAGCGTATACCGGTATAGAGTATAGAGTCTTGCTAGGGATGACTGCATACATACCGTACCGTCCGTTTTTGGTTGAGGTGGCTTTTGTCCGAGAACAGATCAAGCTGGTTTTCAAGACCGGCATGGTGCTCGACATGTGTTTCGCATTGTCTAGCTTAATCAAGTCTTGCTGATGTCAGCACTCAAGTACTGCGCAACGTCCACCAACCTCAAATTATCATGTGTCAAGCGAATGTAAAGCGATGGCTTCTTTCCATCGCATCACATGCTATTTGTCTGTGTGTGACTGCTCACCATCCAAACACGCTTGCACACGAGTGCCGCAACTGAACTATGTTTGATACACAGCTCGATTTGGCCCTTCCTAAATCAAAGCTGCGCAAGATTAATCATCGCTCGCAATCTGGCTGGGCCAAACGTTTTTGGAGTTACCCTTTTCAGGCCGGTTTAAACGGAGCCAAAAGTCTAAGATGATGTCCACTACCCCAAACCACTTCTGCGGGGAGTTCATGGCATTTTCAGCCTCAATAAAGTCACTAGATAAAGGGTACATGCCCCAACTTATCCTGAGAAATAGTGGTTTGGTACTAAAGAAACCATCTTAGAAAACGGAAAGCCGAAGCCATTGTAGGTTCAAGTCCGACGATTTTGACACACACCTTTGGGTTCCCGACATGTCCAGCCGACATCCCTGGCCCCAAGGTGGATGAGCTTAAAACCACCCCTTAGGGCACCGGGTCTGGGTGGCTCCTTTTTTAAGGTTGGACCTCCAAAAAGGGCTTTGGTGTCCTCTTGGTTTCCCTTTCAAACCACCGAAAAGTTCCGCAACCGGACTCATTTTTGCCAGCCCGCAAAGAACAAACAACACGACCGCGATTGGCCGTCTTGCGAGGGGCGTGTCTTGCTGAGGGTCGGCTTCCAGCTTCTGAGCACCGCGAGGTTTCCTGGGGACCAAGCCACAGGTCCTCACAGACCCTTCGCCTTTGAACCTGACGGCCTTTGGGCTTCCCTTCTGAAACAAATCCTAAGAAAAAATATGCACCCACATCTAAAGACCGCCTGCTTTAGAAGATCCGATAAATCAGCCGGCATTGGGTGAATGGTTTGTTGCCCCCTAGAATCTTTTTTGTGGCCTTGAGGTTGTCGCAGAACAAGACCAGTCGTTAAGATCATTGAGCAACTGCAGGCTTAGCTCTTGCTTAGCACGTCTCAAGTTCAAGGGTCAAGGGTCTTAGGAGACCGACAGGCAAATCAGGCCAAGGCTCCATAGACCGAGATGTTGAGATGCCGATGGTTCACGAGGCTGACAACGTGCAGCTCGTCATCAGAGGACAATTTCAGCATGTCAACGCCGTCGCTGTCCTGCGGAAAGGCTTAGCCCACAACCCTGCATAGGGTTTTTTGCCTTGAAAAGCTCGACATCTTAAATTGCCCACCCGTCCTCATGAACGTTGGGCCCGTAGTAGGCGGCATCAGGACAATCTCCCAAGCACTCAGTGTTGTGCCGAAGGCATTCCAAGCCCTGAATCATCAGTGGCGTGAAGCGCAAGGGCTTCGCATCCCCGAAATCTCGCCCAAAGTCGGACCCCACATTCGCGAGCATCTGACTGTTGTGCTTCATGAAATCCTGCTCCAGCATCCTCTCATGGCCGTTGCTGACATGCGCTCGGTCTTTGTATGGACGGGTGGGCAGCATGGTACTATCACCATGGCTCCCCTTCAGGTAAACTACGGGGTAATGAGACTGCAGATACGCGTCCCCCTTCGCCTGGTCGCGGAAGCGGAATAGTCTGAGCACCGTCTCGAAGTGCGTCCAATCCTGGAATAGCCCCCCCACATCGGACGGGATCACTGCCAAATTGATGGCGGACTTGGGCAAGCCACTCTTCACCAGCGCCTCAGAGCACAGAAACAGTGTGCATATAGCTACATCGGAGTTATCATATATATATATATACATATGTAGATATACATATGTATACATACACATGTGAAAGTGTGTACACGTAAGCAGTATGTATACATACTTACTCCTGTGGGAAATGCTAAGAGAACTGTTATATTGGAACCTCTCTGCGATTCTGTAAAAACAAATGGCACTGCTTCCCAAAGTGTTATCCTTCGCACATGAGAGGCCGGCACGCTTGGTTTTTCATGGGACTGTAAACGGGTTCTAGCTTGCACCACAAAACAATAATGTGTGTGTGTGTAGCATCCTAGAACCCAGTAATTGGAACCCCCACTTAGGATCCCCCAACATATCTGCTCCGGCCTCTTCAACAAGCGTGAAGGTCCTGTTGCTCGCAGTGAGCACGTGCGCAAAAATGTGGTCCTGCGTCTCCTTGAGGTTCAAGTTGTTCACGCTGTCGCCGAGGCTGCTAAACTGAAGACCCCTGCGACTGCCAAGCCAAGCCAAATCAAACCAACCGCCTGCCAGGGTGGCAGCCACCCGTGCGACCAGCCTTAAAAGTCTCTCACTGACTCGCAAACCGTGTACCGAACTCGCCTCCCCCAAAAAAAGAAGAGAAAGTGTCAAGCATATCGTGTTTTCGTTTTCTGATTTAAAAAAAAAAAAGAAAAAGAAAAGCGCACGCTCAGGGTGTCTTGTTCCGGAAGAAAAAAAAAGCGAGGCACACCCCACCCAGCGAGGCAACGCCTCTAACGCCTCTCGTCTCGCGGTCTCGCCGCCTGCGCGGCACCCACAAGGCGAAGCTGGTGAAGGAGAAGTACTCCACTTCCGGAGGGCGTCGGGCAAGCAGCACCACGGCATCCTGGCAGATCTGTTTATTTTGTTGTTTTCCCCCTGTTGAAACAAGGTGGCTTTTCTATGGATTTGTTTGACAGGGAAACCAATTGAACAAATCCAGGGACATGTTTTTTTTCTCATTTGAAAATTGGTGCCTGCTCGACGCTTGTTTGACGGGAAACCCTTTTTAGATCCAGCCAAAGTTGGGGGTTCCCCGGATTTGGGACAAACCCACATTGTGCAATATGTGTGTGTGTGTGTGTGTTGGTTCAGGCCAAACCTACCCTTTCATAAACCACAGGGAAGCCGAAGCCATCTTGGGTCCCACCCCAAATCCCTTTCACACCCCGCAAGTGTGCAAGTCGAAAGGCTCTGGCTGCTCCACCTTCCCAAAGAAGCATGGGATGGCAAGTTTACATCCACACTGGGCGGCAATATGGGTTTGCGTCCAAGGGTGTTCCTGCGCGCTTCCCTTGAGACTGACCTGAAACGAATACCCTTACAAACTAGAAGATGAGCGGCCCGAAAGCCAAGCAAGCGTGCAACCCTTTGCAGTATTTGCGATGTTCAAGCCCAAGCTTTGCAAGTGTACTTTGCGCACGGCATTCGCTCTTGACTCTTTTCGAGCAGGAGCTGCGCCAGCGCATCGCGTACTCCTTTCGTGCTTGGAGGTTGAGATGTTCAAGCCGAAGCTGCACCAACATTTTTCGCACGCCACTTTCGCACTGAAAGCTTACGCTTTCCCAGCCGGAGCTGCGAAAGTGTACTTCGCGCACTCGAAGCTCGTCCAGACCTCTTGGGGGATTCGAGCCAGAGGCAGCTGGTTTCAAAGAGTCGCGCAAACTACGAAGCAAACGTCCGAGCCCATTTCCCGAGAAGAAAGAAATCGTCGTGTTCTTAGCATTGACCACGGGCAACTCCAAAAGTCGCATGTTTGCAGTGGGTCGCGTGGACAAGGAAGAAGGAATACAAGTTCTCAGTTCTGAACCTCGCCCACGCCGCTCCAGACGCGCGGACGAAGACGAAAGGAACGAAAGTCCTCGGTTTCAGGATCGATGCCGATCCATGCCGAGCGTCGCATGCACACTGCAGAAAGAGCCTGGACAACGCCGATCCACGCAGAGGGTTCATCCGCGATGTTACAAGTTCGCATAAACCCACTGCGTGAGCGCTTCGAGATGCAGTGGGCCGGCTTCTCTTTACTTTCTTTCGTTCTTTCAGGGGCGAATTCACTAGACTACCTCCAAGCCAAACACCTCAGGAAACCTCCAGTGCAACTTGCTTTGTCAATCTCTTGTGTAATTGCTCGTGCAACTTGCTTTGCAAACCTCTCGTGTATCTTCGTGAACCTTGCTCAAGCAACCTCTGATGCAACTTGCGCGTGTAACCTGCTCAACTTGCTTCTACTGGCGCAACTTCTTTGTTCAACTTGCCTGCGCCACCTCTTTCTTGCTCCGACTCGGCGCGGGTGAGTTGACCCGGGCTCGCTCGAGCCCTCAAAATTGGAGCCTGCCTGAGGCTGCACATGCCACATGGGGCTGGGCAGCAGAAAGCCGAAGGCCGGCAGCGCCATCCACATGTACGGGGTGTTGGGGTTGCTGCCGAAGTGGTCCGTGAACAACGACCTCGAATCGAATCACCCGCCGATGTAGGCAGCCGCTTGCTCCGAAGTGGCTTTGCTGACGGATTTTCGACCACCAGCTCAGTGGAAAGAAAAACATCACGTGAACCAGTGGAGAAAGACAAAACGGGAAAAATAGATCACCCTGTGCTTGCACCTGAAACCCGATTCCCCCAAACGTTGAAAGGTGACTCACCTTTGCCTTTAACAGAAGCGGTGGCCAAAACCAGGAAATCAAAAGGCCCAAATGGCCAGGGTTTTCACAATGTGTGCTTCCCCCTTTCTCAAGTGGTCATTAACCGTCTCCGACACAAAAATAGCCGGAGCTGGCCTATTGTTTCCCCCCTTACTATGGCCTGAATTCCCTTGTGTTGACTGCCCCAAAACTGTGTTATGTGATCACCCATTCGGACCAAACCGACAACCAGTTGCGAAACCTGCTGGTTGAAAGGTCAGAGTTGGACAGTTGAGCTTCGACGATTTGGGGCTGGCCTCACCTGAGTCATCAAAACCGGAAACGTGGTCTACCTAGAACCAGAAGAATGAGAAGGGACGACATCCAGGGTCTTTGTCTTGCTAATCTTCACTCACCCGGGTTTGACTGTCGCTCACCTGGCTAAAAAGCCATCGGCTCAACCTTACGTCCACAGGATCCATCTGATTTCTGAGACATGTGGCCTGTGCAACTAGAAAACATGCTCCCAAAATCAGCTTCCCCCCCCCACCCCAAAACAAAGTGAGCGCGAAACTCAAAAGTAAAAACGAGGACCCAAAAAAAAAGAAGTGTCCACAGAACACAGACCCGGCGAACACGGCTGGGGCGCCCGGCCAGAAGAAGGTGTCCCGGTCCCGGAGCCTGCGTATTCGTGTCCATGGGGCTGGCTCTTTGATTGGCAAGCCATGAGATCAGGAACCAGCGACAGAAAATTCTACAGGAAGCTAGCCAAATACCCACCAAGATCAGGGGGTTTCCTCTAGAATTTCCTGTAGTTGGCTTCTTAGAGCCATGAGATCAGACCTGAAGCTCATAAGAAACCGCCAGAATTTTGGGGGTTTCTCCATGTGAATCACGATCAGAAATACATGACATGCGTATGAAGAGAAACCACCACTCTTAAGGTTTCCGCTTTGCCAACCAGCGCACAGGGGACATCCATGTGAAGATCAGAACGTGAAGATCATAAGAAACCACCCAGCATTCTTTGGTGTTCCCTTTGCCGACCATTGCCAAAACGAGACCAAATCATGCATTTCCATGTTCCCTGCCGGCTCCGACAATTTCATTGGTCTTCCTTGGGGCAAGTCTTGCATTCTGTTTTCGCCCAAGTATAACATCCTTTTTGGGCACAGGCTTTTGGTTGGTGTCATTTTCCCTGCAAAAAAATGAAATCCTGAACTTTTAGTCACTCTTTGGACTGTGCTAGTGCCACACCAAAAGTCCAGACTCTTTTCGGTCGTTTTGGATCTCGGCCGAAGCCTCGGCCCGTCTTGGCAAGGATCTCCAGGCAAGAGAGCCGGCCACTTGCATTGGCAACTGGGATCTTTGGAGGGAAGGATCTTCAAATTCTTGAGGGGAATTAGGTCCCTTGGTAAGAGAATGCTTTCCGGAAACCCTTTCCTCTAGAATCAATCACTGAGCTTCCAAAAGTGGGAGGCACGAAGTCATGATGCGATGATCCCAAGTTGGTGTTCCTTCAACCCCAGGTTCCCCACGAAAGTGGCTCCTTTTGGTGCCCCTTCAAAACCAGGCTACCAGGGCTTCCTACAACGGGCGGGCGTCTGTTTAGAGGGAATACCCATTTTAGTGTGGTGTTGCAGGGAAAACCAAAGGAAAACCAAGAGTGTAAATTCACGAGGGCTCACTTAGGGAATAGGATGCCGGGGCAAAACCATCAAGCCAATGACTCCGCAGGAAGAGCCCATCGTCCTCCACTACATCTTAGGACAAGCTGGATTCTCAATCGGAGAAAGCCGCCATTTTTCAGGGCTCCCCTAAAGCAGGCAACACTAGGCCAAACAAAAAGGGTGTTCTAAATCAATTCTGGCAACACAAAACCTCGATTTAGGGGAATTCCTCCTTTGTGGCGGCTATGAATTAGAGGTCATTTCTCTACGGAAAACGTCAAGAAGAAAAAAGGCCAGGCGGCAGCTGTCCGCGGCAGCTGATGGTCAGCTCCTGCGGCAGCGCCTGCTGGAAGTCCGCGCTCAGCCGGGACACCTCGAGAACCCCACGTGAGTCATGGGTCAAAAGCCCGGTTAGCACCCAGTGACCTACCCCAAAATGGTACCATTGGTTTTGACCCAAAGCCAAATGGTCGTAATCCCAGAAGCATTGTAAAGAATTACGACGGCGGATATCCGCAGCTATTTATGGGTTGGGATTGGCCCTTACTAACCTTCATCTACCCGGGTTTTGATTGTGACTCACAGGGCAACTCGGGTGTGGAAGTCCAACATGGGCGTCCCTTTTTAGACTAACCCAAGGAAGAAGGATGGAGCTTCCCGCCAAGATCAGTGAAACAACCCGAGATGGAGGCCAACCACAAAAATCCGCGAGCCCCACATTGGTGGTTTGGTGGGGTGGTTTGGAGGTTCGGCGTAGTTTCCCATTTCCCCCCTACAAGAACCGGGGGGTCAAATCCAAATCCAAGCCACCAATCCAAACCACCAATTAAGGGCTACGCACCTATGGTGCTTTTCGCAAAAGCCAAAAAGAAACCAAGAGTACCACCCCAACCTCCTCGTCCGGGCAGGGCGGAGGCGACGGGAACAGCAGACCTGCGGCTCCACGGACGAGCCGGCGATCTTAGCCACACACAAGAGGAAAGCAACTCTCAAATACTCGGGTCTCTTCTTTTTTAAGGGTACCCTTTGTTGGCAGTTTCTACAGGGAAGCGAAAAGGAAAACCACCATTTTGGGGTGGGGGGGAGTCTCCTAAAAAGAGACACACGCATTATCCCCACGACCTAGCAAACATGACACAAAGGCGTGTGTCTGATTCAACCTTTTGCTCAAAGTGGCTACAGGGATTGCGTCTTCGAAGGGGCGCAAGCAGCTGTGTCTTTGTGGCAAACTCTCTGGCAAATAAGCTGAATTGCCTGGGACATGTGCAAAGGCAGTGCCACACGTAGGAGCCACACCTGGATGGACGAAGTCCATTTCGCACCACCTAAGAAACCCTACATTGATGCTTCCCCTGTAAAACGCCCACAATGGTGTCAACCATGGTTTCAAAGTGGATTTCGTCATGGAGTTCGCAACCATCCACACTTATTCGGCGCAAACGATTCTGCGAGTCGTTTGCTCGGGTTTCTCATGTTTTCGAGCCTCCGCAAACTTCCTATCGCGCGCACGAACGTTTTAATGTTGAATCTGCCCATGTGAGACAAATACCAATAAATCCCCTCCCCTCCCAACAAAAGATGTAAAACCGCTTTGAAACAAATCAAGCTGGGTGGGTCTGTTTTCAGGGCCCCCCAAAAAAACACACACACACACACACACACACACACACACACACACTTAACAAACAAAAAAAATGTGTTCCTTTTGGTTTGACTTTCAAGCCCCAGAAAAGAGGCACCAGCTCTACTGAGCGAGCCACGTCAGACGTCGCCTCCCCAAAGCGCCGCAGCCAGCGCGGCAAAGGCGCCCACATACCGCCGCTGCATGGCTGAGGTTTCGATCGCCCTGGGCTTATGGGAAACCGGCCAGTCTTTGAATGCGAACCAAGAGAAAACCGAACTGGGGTTTAGCCGTTTAGTTTTCGCGTGGGTCGCCTGTTTTTTGGGGCATGTCTTGATGTTTGTTCAGGGGAACCAAAGGGAAAACAAGCAGTTTGAGGGGTTTTCCCCGATTTGATACATATCCAGGAGCCAATCTTGCTTCAAGCACCCATGTCCTTGATGTGCTACATATGGTCACCGGCTACGAGCTTCTGGGGCGTTTGAGTGGTTCCATTGATCAACGGGTGCGCGGACGAGCTTTGGAGTGTCCCCGTGTCCCCGACCAACCATCAGACCATCAATTGTGTCAATCTACAGGTGGGGGGGGTTCTCAAAATAGGAGATGTTTCATGGTTTCAAAGGGAAACCAAAAGAAAACCACCTGGAGGGTCCCCAATTTTTCAGGAGAAACACCCCATCAGTTGTCTGGCAAATCTTCTGCTTGAAGAGCACGGGTGCTTCAAGGCACTTGCCCTGCACTTTGGCAGGCGCCACCTCGCTAGCTCGCCGCTGCGCCGGTGCAAGAAAACAAAGCGCGCGATGCAAACGTCGATCCACCTGCAGTCCCTGGTCTTTGACTCCCCGAAGTTGAAGACACGGGGTTGTCGCCAAAAAAATCGGGACCCCCCAAAAAACCTCCAAGAATATGACACGCCCACATGGTTCAAAAGATCGGATCGAAAAAGTCTTGCAAGCCTTACAAGCATCACCATCCCACAAAAGGGAACCAGGGCACCCATGGCTATCCAAAGACCCCCGGTCCTGTCAAACCTTTCCTGGGTTGTGGTAGTCCAAAATAGTTGGCCGGCAACCTTGCGCAACTGTCCGAATGATAGATGCAGAACCCATTTGGGCTCGAAGTCTAGGGGGCTGACTCATATCCGCCAATGTGCGAGGGTGCTCCCCCATTAAAAATCACAACCATTTGCACGACAGGCACCGCTGCCATCATCCAATGGCATGCGCTCGGTGTGAGCAAACAAGTGCGTCGACTGGAATTGGCACATCCACGTGGAAACACTCGGGCAACAGGAACACAGGATTAATAAACCCTTGGTTGAAGGGGTGTCCAGCTCACTTTCGGGGAGACACCCCCATGATTGCGTCAGTCTTGTTCTCTGAAATCAGATTTGATTGCTGCCTGCAAAAGCTTTAAGGCCGTGGGATGTGCCGCAGCCCCAAAGAGTCAGTGCAGCATTGGGTTCTCTGCGCTGAGAGCCTCCTGCGCGCGCTTTTTGTTGCCTCGCACCCGCTCCTGCGACCGCTTCCGCCACTTCAAATGCAAAGCGGACATCCAGAGGCTTCACAGCCGTTCCAGTCCGGAAAGCATGTCTAGAAAATCTGCTGCAAGAAACTGTCCTCGCTGCAATCTGCAACATTGCCAAGGGCAAGCCTTGAAGATCATGGGAAATAACACAGCACATGTGATTCTTGCAGCTGCTCCTGTTCGATATAATTAGGTCTCTCTCAGCCAATGGGGATGTCTTTTTTTTTGGGGGTGGCTCTCCTTTTTGTTTCCGCTCAAAAACCCAAAGACGGGGTCCCTCAAAAAGAGGCACGCCCCATCTTGGCCGCTTCAGCCGACCAGGTCCACTGCGCTAATCCTCGACGAAAGGCCTGGGATTCGGCAGCGACTCTGGAAGCGTCGAGAGAAATGTGGACCCCGTAGGAATCAATGCCGGCGGGGTCCCCCTAAAAGTGTTCTGACTCCCCACTAAAACCAGGGACACCCCCCTTTTTTATAGACTGGGGTGGATTCATAGGGGTCAACTAGAAATGATGTGGGCGTGTCGGGAGCTCTCAAACTAGTTAGCTTCCTCTTGGTTTCCCTTTGAAACCAGCCAAGCAGGGAGTTCGGACGTTCCGACTCGCCCATGTTGCGTTAAAGTCGAGAAGCAGCTCGCCTCCCGCTCCTCATTTCTTGTGACGCCTGGCACACAGCTGGGCTGAATCCAAGTCTTTCATGGGCATTCTCGACCGCTGACTTTGCCGCGTGCTTTTGTTTCTTCTTGGGGGCTGTCAAGAAGCTCAGCTAAGCCACCCAAGTACCAAAAACAAATACACAATGCACCCGACAAAAGCTGCGGCTGGCAATCAACTCCATAAGTCGCCTCAGTGGCTATCGCTGTGCGTTGAGGCTCGGTACTTTTGGGGTGACCGTACAGACACACCGAAAGGACAGCGACCAGCGCGGATCGGGAGTCTTCCTGCGAACCATCGCTTTTTCGCCAAGCGGCTTCTTCTTCAGCACGTTGTAGCAGGCGAAGGCCACGATGTTGCCAAGCACGGCACCTTGAAACCCTCTCATGGAAGCTCGCGGGGTTGGCAAGGCACTCTCTTTTGGGGCAGCCGAAACGTCCACGTCCATGGTCCGGAGGCGAATTCATGCAACTTTAAGCTGTCAAACAAAGCCATAGGCATATGTCACAGGGAACCCAGGAAAGGAAAGGGGGGGTGGCTCACCTCCAGCGTGAAAAGGGCTCCCTTCTTTATCTTCTTGATTTATGGTGCTATGAACTTTAATAGGGAAGCCCCTCCAAAGTGGTTGGTGGACATGGATCCCCACCTACATGATGTCCACCAAGGGGTCCCCAATTGGAATTCAGACCCGTGTTTAAACAAAGCCAAAAAGAGCTCATGAAGTCTCA